TACGTCTCAACCCCGCGATCTCAACTTCACGATCTTAAATTCCCAACTTTGCGGTGTAAGCTAACTTAAATACTTGGCCGATTAACTTTCCAAACTGTTGTAATCTGAAAATTCTACGCCATTTTTCATTCACATTCGAACCGTTAATTAGTTAGTTAGTTAGTTAAAGACACGTTACGATATATTAACAGATAAAATAATATAAAGTAACTACAAAAAAAAAAGGTTTGGTACTTTATCCATTTTTAAATTTTAGAATATAATTAAATTCGTGTGATTTAACAATAAAGATTCATCCGACTAAAAGGAATCGAAGGTGTAAAAACAGAACGTGGAATAAAAAGAAAAAGCAGTTCGTTAAAAAGTAAAAATATGTGTAGATATTTTTCGTTTTTTTGTGAACACAAATTCCCAACACATTCGCTCGGGCATCTCCTCGGTGACAGAACATACTCTCCAAGCATGTATGATGCAATTCATAAGGGAAAACAAGAGAATGGAGAAAGAGATAGGGACAATCAGACTGAACGGAGGCAGCGATAACAGCGAGAGTGATGAAAAAAGCGCGAAGTTTCACAAAAAGGGGGCGAATAAAAGATGAGAATAAAAAAATAGAGGGACAAGGAAGGGTGAGATGAAAAGAAACACGAGGGAACGGGAAGACAGATAGATAGAGAAGAGGTGAAGGGTAACAAACGAATGGCAAAGTTGGCCTTGATCGAAACTCGGCCGCATCCAAGCGGAAGATTCATCCCCTATCAAGCGACCCCTGGTCTCTGTAAATCCGTGTACTTTTCTGCTTCCCGATCTCTATCGGCGCTCGCCACCCCAGTTCCAGCTTTTCGACTGTGAAAAAAGAAGCCTGTTTACTTCATTCTGCTCCTGGAGTTTCTGCTTTCGTTCGCGATAACGACAACGATTGTCTTGCGAGGCGAAAAAAAAAAAGAAGGAAAGGAAGAAGAAGAAAAAGGAAGAAAAAAAAGGATAAAAAAAGGGGGTCGTCTGCGAACGCTTTTCTCGCCGGTTTGATTAAATTCGAGCCGTCAGATCGATAGATCGCATATTTTCTTCTGTGCCAATGCATCTTTGGTTCGAAGATTGAATAGACCTTCGCGAGAGTTTAATGATTTCCTCTCGTGATTCCAGTGGAGCGTGTCGCCTCTCCACTGATCTATTATCCCGCACAACTTTCGAATGGCCACTATCTGCCGTGCATTTTCAACCGTTCGATGAGCCGAAAATTGCAAGATCGTGACGAGAGCCACTAAATTGTAACCACTTAACACATATTTTTATGATATTTAACGTTAGAGATGCTGAACCGGTTAGAACGATTGCAAATGTTTCTGACAATATTTACGTTTATTATCGCAGCAACACGATTTATTTCATTTATATTTATATTTACAGTTAATTTTCATTTACACTCCTAACATTACCTAAATGTTTAATTTATTTAATTTCAGAAGATTGATTTCTGCATTGGTTCTTTTGGTTTAAAAATGCACGACGAATTTATTTATTCTCCGAGGGTTATTCTGCTGGGAAAGGAAAACGAAAAAAAAATAAAGCGAGCTATTTAAAAAAGAGCAGAAGTGAGCTTGAAAATTTCACGACCTTTCATTCAGGAAGATAAACCATTAGAGATATAACATAAGGTTCCTTTGATACTATACGTACACAATTTTTATAAATAAAGTGTTTTTATATCTCTAAAAATAACAGAACTAACTAGAGTGATTAAAATTATTGATCTATATGTATAATATATATCGAAATTAAAATTGAATTTATCTTAGCTGTTTAATAAGATAAAATTTCCGAGAAGGAAAAAGGAATCGAAGACTAATTTTTGGCGGCTATTAAAAGATTTCGAGGACCTGTCAAACCGGCTGGTGCTCCCCTTTGCATCGTCTTCGGGCAAAAGACATTGTTATAAACCTCTGATATATTTCAAGGATAGATATAGATGTGTATCATTGAAAAATCTGGAGTAGTTGGCTTGGCACCAAATTACTGATGACACCTTACTTACACGAGCATCGATTTCTGTCTAATCAGCGACTCTCGATCCGGTTAAATGGTCCGAGCTATCTGCTAGAAGAGCGATCTCAGGAACTTTAAATTACACTGCCGACTTAAAAGCTTGGTATTCATCGATAGCGCACATTATCTACTGCTTGTGATGTTGAAAAAACGCTCGAATCTGTAAAAAACGATAATTTAACTGTTATTTGTTGATCGCTAACATTATAAAATAAGTTATAAGAATGAAAGTTTAAGAAAAACGTGAAAAATTTTTTTTCGAATTCAATACTAATTTTTAAATAAATGAAATGTTATTGATATTAGATATGTGAATACAGATGATTGTTTTAAATTTAATTAGTTTGATCTTTTATTTGCAACACGTTGATATTGTGTTCAATTAATTATTCGTCGTTTATATTATATAGCATAATACTGAAATTCGATTTCTAAATTTTTGTATGAAATATCAAAGATCATATCTAAATGAGAATATTTTCAGAGAACAAAGTATTTATATCGTTCGCAGAATATCAAGGGAAAATACTTGTAGAAACAAATGATTCCTAGAAAATAATTTCACCGAATATAACTCACGTAAATTAAATTTTAATTTCGTCTAAATGATTTTCGTCCCCTTTTTCTGCTTCGGAGAAGATGCAAACGCAAAAATAATTGCATCCGTTAAATAAAACTTCTCACCTTTTTCTTTTCTTTTTACTCCCCTTATTTTATTTCTCGTTCCAAAAAAATTAGTTGAAAAATGTGAGTAGAGAAATGTGTCTCTGATCAAAAACTCCAAAAAGAAGTAACGATTTTCTTTTAAACTTTTATGAACCGATTATTGAAAAGAAAATAATTTTTATTTTAAACGAGAAACAACGATATTTCCAAAAAGTGAAATGATTAAAACATATTAATTTTCAAGTGTTTCGATAACTGTTTTAAGTACTCATAGAGATATACTATAAATTTGCATAGAAATCTGTAATCTAATTATTAATAATGTGCATCGTCGATAATGCTTATTGGCAATCGGAAAGATTGTAATCCTTTATAATAATCATTTCCGACTAATTTTAAAACATGAATTTCTATATTATATTTTAATTTCTAATTATAATTTCTATATTCTAATATTATAACTAGACTATGAATGTTTAAATAAATGCGTATTTTTATACGCACATATGCGATATGCATAATAATAAAGAAAATTTTTCTTAAAAGGATGCACAAATGCATTAATATTGCTTTCATTGTACCGTAGAGGAATAAAATTGTCAAACGATCATACCAGAAATGAACAACACGATTTCTATTTCCTATCAATATTGATACTAAATAATAGGTAAACGATAATATTGCAATTATAACAAATTACAAATGTAACAAATATTCAAATTTAGTGTTTATTAAAGCATATTTTTCGTGTATATATTATAATATATATATTTCGTGTGTGTGTATATATATATATATGTATATATATATGTATATATGTATATATGT